GTATGAAACTCTTAATTATCCACTCCAATATCTCCATTTTAATCAAAAATGAAAAAAAAATGCTGTAATTTTGCTTAAGGTACTTCAAAATCTGGGTTAATGTTTTTAAATCAAAAGGGGTCTGTATTCTTTGGATGCAGTATCGTAAACTGGTATCAAGAAGCCAGGACATGGAATCAGGTATTCACTTTCTTAACCATATGATTGAACCTTGTTGAAATGTATATGTTTTAATATATATGTATGTATGTATGTATTGATCGATCAGTATTGTGCTTTTTGGAAGGTTTTGTCACCCTAAGGTTGTTCTTACATATGATTTTTCGTTAGATCGTATGGTATCCGAGTTGCAAAAGGGACTCCTAGAAGAATAGGAGATCTTGAGTTTGAATCCGGGACTACACACCTTAGAGTGACAAGATCTTAAGAACGTTCATGGCATACAAAGAGGACAATACCGATTTGTGCACAATGGTCATACCGACCGTAACATGGAGCTTCTCATCAGCGAATGTGTATATTAAAGTGTGTGTGTGTGTTTAGAAAATGTCTCATTAGTATGAAAACTTTGATTGTGCAGACAGCAATACCAATTTTAATAGGAACCAAATTCGATGATTTCATTGAACTTCCCCTAGATTTGCAGTGGACGATCGCCAATCAGGTAAAGTTTACAGTTCCGGTTGAAGCTTTGAAACATATCCTGCATGTCTAAGAAAGCATATTCCACTTGCTTTGAGAATTAAAAACACCCTTTTCGAGAATTTGCATACGATTACCAATACCAAATCAATGTTTTAGAAATAGAAATGAAGAACAAATGGCCGATCGAGTCCTAGCTTGGTTTACTTCGTTGCTTATGCATGTTATACTATACTCGTATTTGTATTCGTCTATCAGTTCTTGCTGTATTTGGACTCTGTCGAGTGCCCTGGATTGTTGTCCTTAATGCAAGGCACAACAAAGTTCATTATTGTCTGTAAGAGGATCATCTCATTGCACGTTTCGATTGTGGTTCTTATTTATATGGCAATGGCAGGCAAGGGCGTACGCAAAGGCCATAAATGCGACCCTGTTCTTTTCGAGTGCTACATATAACATCAACGTGAGCAAGATTTTCAAGTTCATCACAGCAAAACTCTTTGACCTGCCTTGGACGGTCGAACGCAACCTTAACATCGGAGAGCCCATCATCGATTTCTAGAATGTCTCATGTTGTCTGTAATGTAGATAATATAGACAATGTTTCCAAAGGGGTCAATCCTCAGCCAACCGATCACCGGACTTTATGTTTTTTACTCCGTCGGTCTTGTCCGGTGATATTCGAGTTGTTTCACTGTGGGGGGAAAACCCATGTTTAAGCAATCAATAGAAGTTGAGTTGTTCAAAGATTTTAGCCCACGTGAAAACTTATTACATCTCTATTAATTTTAAGATTAAAATATTTAATTTCTTTAGCTATTTAATTTTGATTTTGTCTCTTATTACAACACTATATACAATTATATAAAAATTAAGGGTATATTCAGTTCGATTCGATTCAGTTTTTCATTAAATATGAATCAATTGCACCTTACGGGTTTTAAAGATTGATCGAAGCTGAATGTCATAAAAACTACGGTTTTTGGTTTGGTTCGGTTTTACGATTTTTTACTGTTCACTATTTTTCAAACTAAAAAAACAAATTTAAAGCTTAAATATAAGTGTAAATATATAAAATTTAAATTTATAAAAAAAATTGTATTAGTTTTAATATTTTATTTATTTAAATTTGTCTCATAATAAATTCAAAATGAATTTGTTTTGGATACTTATTTTTTTGATTCAATTTGATTCGGTTCAAACAGTTTTCATATGAAAAAATCGAAACCAAACCGAACTACATATTTATTTTTTAAAATCAAAACTGAACCATAAATTTAAAAACCCGAATCGAATCGGTTTCATTACTCAACCCTAATACCAATTATATATTAAATATAAATCCACTAATGTTATTAAGCACATATAGTCTAGATTATAATTCAGTTTTATTTTATTTGTTATAATTTTTTTATTAATATGAGTAAGTACTCAAAACAATATATGTTCAAAGATAATTTTCAATCAATTGACATTGAACACTCACGCTCCTGAAACTCTTGATGCTCAAACTCGAAACCTCGAAAAATAATAACAATTCATTTACTACCGAGATCGCTTGATTCGTATATATATTTCCTTGTAACTTTTAATCACTAACATCATATATAATGAGTTAAATTTACAACTAAAAATGTGAGTATATATTCCTTGTGGGTCATTCATCCTTTATTTATGGACTGACTTTGTGATCCAAAGATATTTTATTAATTCAATTTGTACTCAACCTGTCGGTGGTAAATAAATGACCCACAAGGAATAAATAAAGTGTCGGTGGTAAAGATATTTTATTTAGGTTGAGTACAAATTAACTAAGGGTAATTTAAGGCTCTCTTTACCCTAAAGTGTCGAATTATGAAAGTTAAAGAATCTAAAGGCACAAATCTAGAAGTGTAGATTCTAATATTAACCTTATTTGATTATTAAACCAATTATTGAATCGAATAACCAAGATGGTTTCTCGAGCATTTACGCGAGGGTTGACTTGAATTATTCCCTAAATTAAGAGGACTATATTGAAATCTAGCTAAAAGTGGAGGCTCTATTTAACCTATTTGATTATGTTAATCTTAAAGGTCTAATTGAAGTTCGGGGACTAAAAGGTCAAAAATCTAAAACACCGAATTCTAAGAGACTAGAAGTTTAAGGACCTAAACAATAATTTCTAAAGTTGAGGACTAATTCATAAACCAAAATCCTAAGTATTATCTAAATTAACCTATTAAAAGGAATTAAACCTAAAGTGTTTTTTTAATATTGGTAATTAATAAATTTTAAAAATTCGAACAATCGATTCGAGTAATCAGACATACATATGGGAAAAAAGGGACAGCCATTTTATGCGAAAATTCGACTCACATTGCTCCCTAATTAATAACTAAGTGTCGTCCTAATTTTTAAGTCTGATTTGAGTGTTAACCTAATCTAAACATTAAAACCATAAAATAACGAATCATTTTAAACCTAACTAACTAAATAAATAAAAAACAGAAAAAAACACAACATAAAAAAAGCATAAACACAAGGACTAAATTGCATAAACATTAAATTACCAAGCTAAAAAAACAAAATAGACATGCAATAGGGCAAATTTACACAAATTGAAACTTAATGGATAAATATAAACCAAATAAAAAACATATTAGGGACTAAAATATAAAAAATGAAACTACAGGGACCAAAAGATAAATATCCATTTTATTTAAGCCTAGAATAACATGTTTAACTAAAAAGGAAAAATTACAAAATCAGTCCACACAAATTAAAATAAAATTAAAAGGTCACTACACATGACCAAAGTGTAAAAGCACGCCTAACTATCAGGGACTAAACAATAAATTTACCAAAAAAATATAACATGCAAAGAAAAGAAAAAATAACATTTTTGGTCCCTACAGGTGACCAGAATGCAAAAACACGCTAAAAGAGGGGGACCTCAATATGAATAACCAAAAAATAAAAGTCACGTAAGGAAAATGAAAAATATCAATTTTGGTCTATATATGCACTGCATTTTATCTATATTTTTAATTTTCTGACTGCCGGAGGTCTTCCACGGAAGCTACTCTCAACCTGGCGTTGGGAGCAGCCTACTACCCTACCTCCCCCTTACCCCATACATATGGGAATTGGGTTTTGTTGTTGTTGTTTTTGTTGTTGTTGTTGTTGGTCTACAGGGACCAAAATGCAAAAATAAGCTAAAAGTGGGGGACCTTAGCGTGATTTCCCCCAAAGTTTCTCTATATAAGCCAACTTTTCTTTTTTATTTTCATTTCAGCCGAGAGATAAAAAAAATATTTAAAAGCTCTCTCTTCTCTCCTCGGTCGGCCTACTACCGGCCGCCCTGAATCCCTCCAGCTACCTTACCGACTGTTGCCCACGGCAATCGGAAAACTAAAATAGCCTAAAAATCCCAAAAAACTAAGATCTACCCACCTAAAGCCTATCATTGAGCTTAAAACCATCTAAAAAACCCTAAACTACCCAAAAACCACCTAAACTCTTCGGCTACCCGGACTCCGACGACACCTCCCCGTTTCAGGTAATACTCTGATCTATTTTCCTTTTATTTTTTATTTTTACTGTATGAAAACCTATTTTGTTGATTCGACTAAAATCTTTTTCTTATTGTTATTTGAAATATTGTTGATGTTTTTGAACGAAACTAAAAAGTTAGGGTTTTATTTCGAAAACTAAAAGGGCTTTTCTTTTTACTGAGATTCAGGAACAAAAGCAGTGAAAGATAACAAGTTATTCCAAATTACAAAAGAAAAAAAAAAACTAATAACCTTGAATATGTTGTTTATTGCTTGAAAAAACCAAGTTACAATATTTTTTCGGAATCCCTTTTTTACAATGTTTAATGTCTGGGTTTTATACTCAGTTACAAAGAATTTAAAATCATTGCTTGTTTGTCTCTTGTCCTTTGTTTCTATAGGGTTGCGTGGAGTGTGGGGCAGTCGACATGCGTGGGTGGCTTTGCTGGGATTAGGGTAAAAAATGGTGGCTATTGGTTGGGGGAGTGGGCGGCTACCTAGGGCTAGGTTTAGATCCGGGTTGGATCTAATTCGGGTCTCTAGGTCGGGTCTAGTTTGGGACTGGTTCGGATCTGGATTTGGGTTGAGTTCCGGTTGAAAAATGGTGATCACACCTACCCATATCCCCACTCTTGTTTTTCACATTTTTCTCGTTCCATCCCAACATTCTATAACATGGTTTCCCTTTATAGACATCTTTATATACCTACATTGTTTTATGTTATAAATCCCCCATTGATATAAGAGCTTCTTCCTTCTCTTTCGAGCTCAAAGGAAAACCTAGTCTGTCTCTTCGTTTATCTTTTCTTCATTAATAGATCAATGGAAAATTCCTCTATTAATTCATCAATGAAAAAACCCTTCTCTTCCAAAGGAACAACAACGAGAAGCAACGGCTCGGATGAAGAGAGCGGGTGGACTGCTTACTTTGAAGATTATTATTATTATGATCAGCAAAGCAGTCACTGCAATTCTAGTTCTAGTTGCCGCGGTGTTTCCATCTCGGGCGCGGCGGCGGTCAGCGTTTCGACATCGGGTACTTCGATAAAAGCTCCGACGAAATCAAGGTCTAGAAAGACGAGAACCAAAGAGATTTGTGGGGATGATTCCTTGGAGGATACTGCTAGTTCTCCTGTCAATAGTTCCAAGGTAATATGTACGTATGCAGTATGTATGTATGTATGTGAGAGTTCATCTGTTGCTGCCATTTCTTGTTTAATAGGTTCTTGACGTGAAAACAAACTATATAAATCCCAGAAAGAGAGATGAACAAACCGGCCGTAGCTGTCCGGTAAACTCTCTCATTTTCCGGTGAGATCATGATAATTATTAAGTTTAATTATAGTTTTAGACCCTCCACTATGCTGAAATTTTAAATTAATCCAGTCAATTATATTCCACCAGTTTACTTATGTCGGTTCCATGCAGGAGAAGAAGAAAGGTTCGCCAGAGAAATATTCAGAAAAGAGAGTTTAGCTCCTTCGACCATGTTAGATAGTTTGTTTATATTTTATGTTAATGATTAAATTTTAGTATAATTTTTAAAGGTTTATATTCATAATTTAACATTATATATCCGTCCTTGTATATTAAATTATCTTCTCTTTCTCTTTATATATGATGTATGTTTGAATATAAATACTAAACATAATATTTTAAATAAATAACTAAATAATGAGATATGTGCACTGTAGTTTCCACCCGTTTGAATATCAAGACAATAACAATACTTTATCGTTTAGGGTTTAGTATTTGCCAAATATTAGTTCTCTCCCCATGCAGATGATAAAAAAACATATGAAAATACATGTTGAAGTAATAACGAATTAATAAATAAGATCATAAAAATAATAATATATATCCATCTATACAATTTTCTCGATAAAAATTACATACAAAACAGTGGTCGATCTAAAATTTTAATTTTCTTCTCTTATAGATAATAGTTATGCAAAAAAATTTATTTTTTTTATTTTATTTTTAACAGATTAAATTAAATTAATTATTTTCTTAAAATAATGGGATGCATTTGACCCCTCTACGACTTAGTGCATCCGCCCCACGTACAGAAAAATATCGCTATAACCGACAGCAAATTACAAAAGATTATTTATGTGAAAATATTATAATTTTCGAACTTTATATATATACTCAAACACAGTAACTCAAATCGAATAAAGTTACATTATAAATTTCAAAAGCTTTTTGGTTGTTGTTCTGATTTTTAAGATTTCGTTTTGACTAATCCGAATAGATTCGGGTCACACAGATACTTTTAGTAATTGTGAGTCTCCCGGCAAGAATTTTTGCATTCATAAAAACTCAAACTCGATGCTTGCTTAAGCGAAATCAAGTTGCTTACCAGTTAAACCAACTCATTGATAAATCTCGAAAGCTTTTGCATCCACTGTGTATCTTCTATTTTTCTTCTAATTTTATTTTTTGGTTATCTCAAATCGAATAAAATTGTGTTATAAATCTCGAAAGATTTTCAGTTTTCAAGGGCTTCGTTTTCACTAGTCTGGATCGACTTATTTCACACACTTGGCTTTGGTGAGTGAGTCGCCCGGAAGGAATTTTTGACTTCACAAAAATTCGAACTCAAGACTTGCTTAAATAAAATTAAAATGCTTACCACCTAAACCAATCATGTTGGTAAATCTCGAAAGCTTTTGCTTCCTCTGTATATCTTCTAATTTTATTTTATTTTATTAAACAAATCTTTTACAAAGAAACAATTATCATTCAGATTAATGATTGTTTTTTAAGGTAAAGTACACAAATGGTCATTGATTATAGGGTATTGTTTTGTTAAGTCCATTAATTATTAAAAGTGATAACTCTGACTACATAATGTTGTTTTGTTAAATCCCTTAACTATTAAAAGTGTTGAGTTAATCGATCGACGAATCGACCAAGAGGGGGTGAATTGGCAATAAAAATTGTGGTTGAAGCTTTTGCAGAAAATTGAAAATATTTGCACAACGATTTAGAGTGATTCGACTTTCTCAACCAAAGTCTACGTCCACTACCTTAGCTATCCACACTAAGGATTTTGTTGAAAACATTTTTATATTTCGATATAACAAATTAAGTTAAATGATTTTAAGATTTTCCAAATGATTTTCTAAGTATATTCGATATAATTATTTGAATATCAAAACATTACTCCAAATATTTCAAAAATCATTTTTAATCCTTACTTAAGTGTAAAATTAAGTTTTAATCTTAAAACAATTTCAAAATAATCTTTCAAAGTATTTCGAACCATTTCAAAGCCAAAAATTCCAATTGCTCAGAGGGAACCGATTACCCCCCCAAGGGGGTACCGATTCCCCCCTGAATGGTTTGGCTCCGAGATTTCAAGAATGCTCGGAGGGAACCGATTCCCCCTGTTCAACGATCGAAATATTTGAATTTAAAACTTAGGGAACCGATTCCCTATGAGGGGGAACCGATTCCCCCACGCTCCAAGCATTTTTATTAAATGTTTTCACACTTAAACGGATATATTATCTTCATTAATCATCCCTAACGTTCAGAAGTGATTCAAGGTGTATTTAAGCAAGCTTAGAAGCCATTGATAAAAAAAAAAAGAAACATCAAGCAACTAGAATCAAGAGAGAATCAAAGAGAAAGCATCAAACCTCAAGTTTGAGCATTTCAAGCCTATTTTCATTCAATATTCATTTTGCTTTCAAGAACACATATTGTGCTCAATTGTATTCATCTTTGAGTGTTCTTTTCTTTGTTCTAGAATTGTGCAAACAATCTACCTTGTGAGGATTTTCTTGTAAGTTTGCAAATTTGTATTGTTCTCTTTGGGAGAGAGTTTTCTCAAGAATTTGGGGTATAATTCTTGAGGGTTTGTAAGGTTACTCTTTTTCCTCAAAAGAAAGACAAATTAGTGAATTTGTGGAAAATCCTTAGTGTGGATAGCTAAGGTAGTGGACGTAGACTTTGATTGAGAAAGTCGAACCACTCTAAATCGCTGTGCAAATCTTTTCAATTTTCTGCAAAAGCTTCCACCGAAATTTTAATTGCCAATTCACCCCCCTCTTGGCCGATTCTGTCGATCGATTAACTCAACAATTGGCATCAGAGCCTAACTCATTTGAAGGTTTAATCGCCTCTTGAGTCGATTCGGGAAGAGTTATATCGATAATCAAAGTCATCAATGGCCTCCGCTTCAAACTTCGACTCTGGTCTCGACTCGATACCCGTCAACAAGCCTCCTTTCTTCAATGGAGCTAACTATGCCTATTGGAAGAATATAATGATGTACTTCATTCAAGCAAGTGACATGGGAGCATGGAATGTTGTAGAAGAATGATACATCAAACCTCTCACTCATCTAAGGTTGTGGAGTGAAGGAGAGACAAGAATGTTCCAGCTCAACTCCAAAGCCATCCATATCATTTTTTGTGCTCTTGGACCAGATGAATACGGAAGAGTTTCATCGTGTACAACCGCCAAAGAAATATGGGACAAACTTCAAGTCACTCATGAAGGTACCGATGAGGTAAAGAAATCTAAAATTAGTATTCTAACGCATAGCTATGAAAATTTCAGGATGAAACCAAATGAAGATATCAAAGCTATGACGGATAGATTTTCAACGATTGTCAATGGTCTCAAATCATATGGAGAGATCATTTCAAATGAAAAGCTTGTGAGGAAGTTAGTTTACTCCCTCCCAAAATCGTGGCAATCAAAGAAGACGGTAATCATCGAGTCTAAGGACTTAACGTCCTTAACTCTTGAAGAGCTAATTGGGTCACTCCTGAAATGATGCTCGAAGATGAGGTGGACCTCGACAAGATTGACGAGACACCAAAGTAGAAAGAGAAGAAGAAAAAAATTAGAGTTGCTCTCAAATCCACAAAAGATGAGAGTGATTCGAATAACGATGACGATGACGAGGAAATGGCATTGTTTGCCAAACGGTTCAGAAAAATGATGAGACCTTATCGAGGAAGAAAATTCAAACGAAATGAAGGCCTCAAAAATGAACCGAAAGATAATGACCCAATCATTTGCTACGAATGCAAAAAGCCAGGGCATGTTAAATATGATTGCCCACAATTGAAAAAAAATGGTCAATCAAAGAATAAGCACAAGGCTCATGTGGCTACATGGAGCGATGAAGAAAGTTCCGATGAAGAGGAACAAGAAGTAGCTAACTTGTGCTTGATGGCATTTGGGGAAGATTCTAAGGTAACCTCTAACTCATCCGATTTTGATGATTTATCCTATGATGAGTTATTAGAGGAATATAATGGGTTGGCTTTTGATTATGAGAAATTATTTTTAAAATATAAAAATGATGTTTCAAAATTGAAAAATGAAAACAAACTCATATCCAAAACCAACAACGATCTTAAAAGTAAAATCAAAGATTTGCAAATCAAACTAGAAGAGTTTGAAAAGAAAATTTTAGATTTGCAAAATTTACTTTCAAAGATCAATGATGATCATCAAAAGAAAATTGATGATCTTAAAACTTCTTTTGATAAAGTTGGAACAAAACATTTTGAAAAAGGTGGAAATTCAAAATCCAACTTTGTTAGAAAAAGTTTTAGAAACTACAATCATAGAGGTCCCCAAAGAACCTCTAATGGAAAAATCGTTAGAAGTATGTGGGTTCCTAAAGAACTCATTACTACTAAAGATAAAAATATCCTACACAAATGGATACCTAAGGGGACTAGGATTTTGGAAACTAATGAATATGGACCCAAAAGAATTTGGGAACCAAAAAAAAAATTAATCTATGTTTGTAGGGAAAGGAGCATTGCTACAAGGCACGGGAAACAAATTCAAATTCATGGTACCTTGATAGTGGATGCTCAAGATACATGACCGGAGATAAAAGCCGGTTCATTGACCTTAACGCCAAAAATGGAGGAGAAGTGACTTTTGGAGACAATTCAAAAGGTCATATTGAAGGTATTGGTACAATAGGTTCCATACAAATTAAAAATGTTTTATATGTGAATGGATTAAAGCATAATCTATTGAGTATTAGTCAATTATGCGATAAAGGATTCAATGTCTTATTTGAAATTAATGGTTGTAAAGTCATTGACATTGCATCTAATCAGATTATGCTTGTTGGTCATAGAATAGGGAACATATACATGGTGCATTTAGATTCTTTTGATATGACTAATTTATGCCTAGTTGCTAAGGATGAACATGATAGTTGGTTATGGCATAGGAGACTAGGACATGCTAGTATGAGTGTTTTGCAACGGTTAATTCAAGGTGATTTAGTTCGAGGGTTGCCTAAGCTTAAATTTGATAATGATAAAATCTGTGATGCTTATGCTAAAGGAAAACAAAAGCGTGTTTCTTTTAAATCCATTAATGACGTATCAACTAGTAGAGTATTACAATTGATCCATGTAGATCTTTTTGGGCCGACTAGGACTACTAGCTTGGGTGGAAAACAATATGCATTTGTCTTGGTAGATGACTATTCTAGATAAACTTTGG